AAGGGAAAAAGAAAAGAAAAAGGAAAAGGGAAAGGGAAAAATAGTCCGTGATGTAGCAACTTGTGACATTACCCCCCTCAATGATGCATGACCTCATGCAAGGTGCCCTCACCCATCTCCCACCCAGAGCAGCAGCATACTTCAGTCAGTGATGAAGGCATTGGCTGGAAGTTGAGACCTCCAAAGGTAGCAGTGTTGAGGCGATGAGGGGTGTTCGGATTCTTCCGGTGGAAGTTGGCTATGAGGGCTGGCACATTCGCAACATTGCACGCCAGTTCCCATGACATGTACAAGTTGTCATAACTCTTCCACTTGATGAGGTACTGCAGCTGACACTGGAAGATCCTTGAATTTTTGATCTGCTCAACCTCGTACTCCTCATCACCCTCAACCTTAATGGCCGGCGGCTCCTCCGGCTTTCAGCCCAGGATGTCACTATGTATGTATCTGCTCAGCAGGGAGACATGGAACACCGGGTGCACCGGCACCAACTTCGGCAGAACCAATTCGTAATCTAAATTTCTGAGCTTGCACCGCATGGCATATTGTCACGAGTTGACATGGCGTCTAGCCGTTTTATAATTTTTTCCTTTTCGCGGGCTCGAACCCGCAACCTCTGTACTATACGCTCGAACGGACAAGTCCTTATCTACTGTACGATTAGATTAGATGGGGCGGCAGTGCGCGGCACAGCTCGGGTCTCTGACTCACCGGCCCCTGGGGCCGCGTCAGCATGCTGCGCACGGACCAGCTGTGCACGGACCAGTGCGCACAGCCTCCCCTAAACTTCCCCTGTATATAAGCCGGCCTCTGCTGCCCTAGGGACCTCAGTTTCGACCTCTTGTCCCTAGGTCAGTAAGCCTTCAGTTGTATTCCTTTTCTTTACCTAACTAATATATTATCTTGTCCCTAGCCTTAGGTTTGAGCATCACTCACCATCGCTTCAGTGAGAATCAGTCGGACACCCCCAGCTTTCAGGTTTTCCACAGTCGCTTGACCTCAAGTCACGACATTAGGTCGAAACTCCCCATAGCTGCCGGCGTTCCATCGGGACTCCCACAACTCACATTCACTTCCTATAGGTTGGGTGGTGCGCACCCTTACTATACCCTACGATACCTAGATAGCGTACTATACATCGCCACCGCTCAGGAAACGAACCTTTCAACACCTGCACTTCAGTGGGCGGTGTTTGTCCTAACGGACACGTGGACTAGGTTCCTGCTGCATAATAATCAAAAGCAGTACTGGGCCCCACGTGAATCACGAACCCTAGTGTTACCTCGGGCACCGTAGGTGTAAGCTAGCTTAGCACGGCCTTTTGTAGCACGCGCACCTTCCCTTCCTTCCCCCATCGTGGCTGCGTGTCAAGGCCTTGTTCACGCCTTCGACTCCAAGGACCTCGTCGACGTCTACATCACTGACGGTCCCACCACTCTCATCTTCGCCTGCGAAACACAACCGTGCCCTAATCGCACACCTCGATCGATCGAGCAGGATTACGAGCGCTATAAGGCCATCAGAAGGGCCCAACATCCGCTTGGTCCCCGCAGTACCCACGCCTCTCAATCTGCGTCCCGGCACTCCTGCGCTGTTTCCCCCAGCTCTCGCCTTCCCCAAACTGTTGCCAGTACAAGTCAAACAGGAGGAGATCCCGATCTCCCTGCAGACCCTGCGTCAGAGCCAGAGTCTGAGGAGAGTGCGAGTGAAGAAGGAGTCCCGGAGCCCGAGCCCACGGATCCTGCTCGGCCCACCTCGCCGACAGCGCTCGCCTCCACGTCAGCAGTCCCTGACATACGTAACCCCACCGCCAAACTTCCTCCGGCGCCTTCACCGCCGTCTCCGCCGAGAGGCCGCTCACGCACTCGCTCCCCACGAAGTCCGACCAGCGGACAACCACAACCACCGCCTCCGCCCCCGGGCCGTCCTCCGTCCCCCCCGCCGCCGATAATGTCCTCGCCCGCGTCTCCTCCTGACAAGGACACCTTAAAGCTTCTCCTCCCCCTCCGATACGATGGCAAAACCGTCATCGAGTGCGACAGGTTCCTGTCGCAGCTGCGCATCTATTGGTTGATCAACACGTCATTAACAACCATCGAGCTCAAGGTGCAGGTTGCACTAAGCCTGCTCGACGGTGATGCCCGCACTTGGGCCACGCCCTACTTCGCCCAGCTCGTATCAGTACAGCTAGGTGTCCAAGGAGTCACAACCCCCTTCGCAAACGAGGCAGCATTTGCTACGGCCTTCAAAGCCCGCTTCGGCAACCTTGACGACGAAGCAGCGGCGCAGGTGGAACTGGCTAAACTCTGCGCGGATAAGTCGGTCCGCGAAAAACGCACCGCTGCGGAGTTCTCCGCACTGTTCAAAGGTCCGGTGGACCATTCCGGGTATGGGGACTTGGAACTGCACGACAAGTACCTGAGCGGCATCCCCTCCCGCGTCTACCGCAAGATCGAGCTCGAGACGTTCGCCATGTGGGAAGATGCTGACAAGCGCACCACGGAGGTCGAACAGATCCTCGATATCAGCCGGGCCCGTCGGTCTGAGTTGAACAATTTCTTCTCGGCTCGAGGTCGAGGGCGCGGCGGGGCACGTGATGGTGCGCCCCAGTCACATGGAGCTTCGGCCAGCATCAATGCGGCCGTCGTAAAAGGCAACTTCCCTGGCAATTGTTACGGCTGTGGGAAGCAAGGGTACCGACGCTTCGAGTGCCCCAATTGTAAGGACAAGCCTTACACAAAATGCGCCGACGCACGGGCTACGGTTGCCTCGGGTTCCACTCAGGCGGCGACAAGCGCCCCCATCGCTTCATCCTCAGCAAGTACAAGCACTGCTTCAGCGAAATCGGATAGTTCCGAGCTGGCGGACTTAATGGCACAGATGAAGTCGATGCGCGAGGAGTTGGAGCACTATCGAGCGCTCAAAGAAGAGTCTTTTTGATCCGGTCCGCGCTTCGTGCCGCACACGTCGGACCTCGTAATAACAATTTGTACAATGTATTGGCGACCGCGAATGTTTACGAGTTGGACCATGGGTCCCAGCACTTCCACATCCCGGTGCGCCTCAAGGGAGAAAGACGGCACAGAGATATAATCGCAATGGTGGACAGCGGAGCCACCACGAAATTCATCAACAAGCGCTTCATCACGGAGAATCGAGTACGAACGTGGAAATTGAAAGAACCCATTCCGCTTTACAACATCGATGGAACGCTCAATAAAGACGGAAGCATCTCGGAAGTAGCCGTGCTACAGATGCAGATAGGAGAACACGTCGAGAAGACAGTGTTTACGGTCACGGACATCGGTCCAGAGGATGTGATCGTCAGGTTGGATTGGCTGCGAGAGCACAACCCAGAGATTGATTGGGAGTCGGGCTCCCTAAAATTGTCGCGATGTCCTGAAACGTGCAGCACCAGAAGGACTGGCCGAATGGAGCAAGCAGCAACTGCGCGTGATACGGGGGTCAGGCCCACGGTGCGCAGGCGTTCGCCGAAGTCCAAACAGTCGGTCATAGGTGCCTGCCGGAGTAGGGTACTGCCGGACTTTGAACCCGAAGAAGATCCGGTGGAAGTAGAGTGGGACGAAGCCGACTTGATCGAGGCCTGGGAGCAAGGTATTACACTTCCTGGCGCCCCTCAGCTGTTCGTTGCAGCTGGGCATACATACTCCCAGTTGTTCGCTGAGGAGGAGATCAAGAAGAAAGTCGTTAAGACTGCCGAGGAGTCAGTACCTAAACAGTACCACGAGTTCCTGAATGTCTTCTCCAAAGAAGCATCAGAATGGCTACCCGAAAGGAAGCCATACGATCATGCGATCGAACTCGTGCCCGGCTACTCGACGTTCCATTCGAAGGTGTACCCCCTGTCGAACAATGAGCAGGAGGAGCTTGACAAGTTCCTAAAGGAGCAGCTGGCGAAGGGTTACATATGGGAATCGAAGTCGCCCATCTCGTCCCCCTTCTTCTTCATCAAGAAGAAGGAAGGGACGCTTCGACCCGTACAGGACTACCATTGGTTGAACGCGATCACGGTGAAAAATCGTTACCCTTTGCCGCTGATCGCCGAGATGGTAGATAAGCTCTGCGGTGCCACGCTCTTTACAAAGTTCGATGTCCGGTGGGGATACAACAACGTCCGGATCAAAGCCGGTGACGAATGGAAAGCGGCCTTTGTGACCAATCGGGGGCTGTACGAACCCCTGGTGATGTTCTTCGGCCTCACCAATTCCCCCGCGACCTTCCAGGCCATGATGAACGAGATTTTCCACGATCTTATCATCGGCGGCAAGGTCCTCGTGTACCTAGACGACATTCTGATCTTCTCTACCAACAAAGAAGAACATGAGAAGGTCACACGCGAGGTTCTATGCCGCCTTCAGGAAAACGACTTATTCCTGAAGCCTGAGAAATGCGAGTGGGACATTCCCAAGGTCGACTACGTCAGCTATGTGTTCGGTGGCGATGAGGTGGCAATGGATCCTGCGAAGCTGAAAGGAATTAATGAGTGGCCGGTACCCCGGAACAAAAAAGACGTTCAGAAGTTCCGGGGGTTTGCCAACTTTTACCGCCACTTCATCAAAGACTTCGCTAAGATCTCACGACCACTCAACCGGCTCACAGGGAATGACCCCTGGCACTGGGGTGAAGAAGAACAGCGTGCATTTAACAAGCTCAAACGGCTCTTCGGCACAACGCCTGTGCTGGCGCTGTACGATCCCCATCGGGAAACGCGCATCGAAGTCGATGCCTCGGGATATGCCACCGGTGGCATATTGATGCAGAAACAGGATGATGGCAAATGGCATCCAGTCGCCTTCCAGTCCCATGCCATGGACTCGGCCCAGCGTAATTACAAGATCTATGACAAAGAGATGCTCGCGATCATCGAAGCCTTGGAAGAATGGTGCCATTACCTTGAGGGGTTACCTAATCAGTTCGAGATTGTGACCGATCATAAGAACCTCGAGTACTGGCGCACGTCCCAGCATCTCACGCGTCGTCAAGCTCGCTGGTCGCTATTCCTGGCACGCTTCGATTTCCGCATCACGCATAAGGCCGGAACGTCAAACGGAAAGGCTGATGCCCTGTCACGCCGATCAGATCATCAGGTCGGCGATGAGGACGATAACACTGATCAGGTGGTTCTCAGACCAGAAAGATTCCGCATCGCCTCCGCTAGGCGTGGCCATGCCTCGGTGACGGCCGATCAATTGCTGCTGAAACGCATCAGGGAGTGCTCGGAGAAGGATCGGGAGGTGGCTGAGGCACTTGAAAAGGTGCAGAACCTCGGACCGCCCCGGCTGCAGAAGGGCTTTGAGGAGTGGAATGCCGAACAAGGGCTTCTGTTGTTCCGCGGGTGCATATACGTCCCAAAGAACGCGGAGCTCCGGCGGGATATTGTCAAAATCCACCACGACTCACCAATCGCCGGACATGGCGGTCGTGCCAAAACCCTCGAGCTCGTATCGCGGAACTACTGGTGGCCAGGGATGTCTAAATTCATCAACGAGTACATAAGCACCTGCGATGTGTGCAACCGTACCAAGACATTCCCAGCCAAACCCCAGGGCCCGCTGAAGCCGAACGAGATCCCCGAGCGCCCATGGCAGATCATCACCACGGATATGATCATTGGCTTGCCGAAGTCTGATGGATTCGACTCGATCCTAGTTACCGCCGACCGCTTTACCAAGCAGGTCCACTTCTCTGCCTGTCACGAAACCCTGACAGCAGAAGGTGTGGCAGACCTGTACATCCGCGATGTGTTCAAGCATCATGGGGCCCCGGCCAAAGTCATATCAGACCGAGGTCCCCAGTTCGCTTCGAAGTATCTCCATGCGGTATACAAAGGACTAGGGATCGAGCCGGTGCTGTCCACAGTGTTCCACCCCCAGACAGATGGCCAGACTGAGCGCTGGAATCAGGAGATCGAGCAGTACCTGCGTGCTTTCACAAGCCACAGGCAGGATGATTGGGCGAAGCAGTTGCTGCTTGCAGAATTTGCACTGAACAATTGAGTTCACTCTGCAACCGGGCACTCCCCCTTCTTCCTGAATCAGGCTTATCACCCTGAGATCCAAGTGCAGATCAATCTGATGTCCACGATGCCTGCAGCTGCAGATTGGCTTAAGATCCTAAAGGAGATTCGGGATAATACATGCTCCACGCTTGAGCTATCAGCTAAGCAGATGAAGGTGTACTACAATAAGCATGTGCAGGAGGCACCGGTCTTTGCACTGGGGGATGAGGTCTGGCTTGACACTCAGAACCTTAAGGTGAAACAGCTGAGCAAGAAGCTCAGTCTCAAGCGCCTCAGCCCATATGCCATGCGGTGCAAGCTCAGAAATTTAGATTACGAATTGGTTCTACCGAAGTTGGTGCCGGTGCACCCGGTGTTCCATGTCTCCCTGCTGAGCAGATACATACATAGTGACATCCTGGGCTGAAAGCCGGAGGAGCCGCCGGCCATTAAGGTTGAGGGTGATGAGGAGTACGAGGTTGAGCAGATCAAAAATTCAAGGATCTTCCAGTGTCAGCTGCAGTACCTCATCAAGTGGAAGAGTTATGACAACTTGTACATGTCATGGGAACTGGCGTGCAATGTTGCGAATGTGCCAGCCCTCATAGCCAACTTCCACCGGAAGAATCCGAACACCCCTCATCGCCTCAACACTGCTACCTTTGGAGGTCTCAACTTCCAGCCAATGCCTTCATCACTGACTGAAGTATGCTGCTGCTCTGGGTGGGAGATGGGTGAGGGCACCTTGCATGAGGTCATGCATCATTGAGGGGGGGTA